GCTATTTTCGGCTTTTTCAATTGTATTTTAGCCAAGAGTGATAGAGACAAGATGGCGGGCTGTTATGGAAAATACTACGAAACAAAAATTGTTTCACAAAAACCTGGTTGATTTGCAAACAGCCGCTTTACGCACCTATTTACACATTTTCCCATAAAAACCTCGTTAACTTAGGCTATCTGCACACTTGTCGTCAAATCATAGTTGCGTTATCGTCTCGCCGTGACATTTTGGGCCGAGCTCATGCATTTCAAAGGAGATCTGCACACTTGTCGTTATCGGCAAATCGTAAAAGATGCAGAAACGGATAAGTACGGCACTGTCATTAGCTAATCGTTGTGCACGCATTGTTTGTTTATCAGCCCAATTCTGAATATTCCCGAGGATTTCATTTCTAGCGGATTTTACTTTTCTCTAGAATAAAATCCTCCTATTCGAAACCACCAGCGAGCGGCATTTTCCCCGAAAATTAGGGAGCAGGAAATTCGAACTTTCGAAGAGCTGTTTGACAGTCAACTCCCGCCATTTAATTTGCGTGTTTTACACATAAAAGTGTGTGTTCACATAAAAGAGTATTTCAGATTAAAGTTGTTAATAAATGCTCAAATCTGTGTTTTAAATTAAAGCTCAATCTTTTAACTACACGGGTAAGTTGAAAGATTTTAATTTAGATCGCGCGTTTTCTTGTAATAACCCGAAATAAGTGGGCAAATAGGATAAGAGTACCCTTTGCTAAGTGCAGTTGCCACTGTGAATTTTGGAAGCCACATTATGAATAAACTAGTGCTCAGGAAATTTAAATATTAGTGCTAAATTAAAATCTAGTCTTTTAGCTACACATGTGAATTGAAAAATTTTGATTTCAATCGCTCGTTTTCATGTAATAAACTAAAACAACCTAGCTTCCATTAGGCTTATTAAGATTTCTACCTGTTTCGTATTTGTTTTGGACCTAAAATGAAATGTTTAAACATTTTATTACACCAAATTTAGGGAAAAGAGGAAAAATCCTCAGGGAATTTTTATTCATGATAGGAGGAAAGAGAAATGAGGAAAAACTCCTAGGGCTGTATATTTTATGGGGCAAAATTAGTGAAAAAGTCAATATTTGCATTAAAATTGCATAAAAATTAGTTTATTTGGCATAAAATCGGTCGAAATTATTAAAAAATGGATAATTGCAATAAAATTCAATAAATGTGAGCGTTTTAACTATAAAACATGACGAAATTGTAAAAAGTCTCTATGTGCATGCACAAAATACATTTCAGGAAAAGAAAAGAAGAGATATTACTGATAAATTATTTCTAGAATGGTTGCAGCACAGTCCATATTTTAAAAATTGCAGGTTTTTGTAAATATTTCGCGAAAATATCAACCAAAAAAACAGAAAATACCTGCTCCAAGTCAATTTTTAGACGCCAAATTAATTGAAATATCATGATTGTGATGATGAAGTAACTATGATTGGACGACCAATGTGCAGAAAGCCTTACGAGTTTTACACAGGTTAAGGCTCAATTTCAGATGGCCTACTTAAGTAGAGATTGCTGATTAACTCCCACTATTCATTTTCAGATCATACATTTAATCTGCTCTTAAATGGCCAATATTGGCTATTTAAATATGAGATATGCAATCCTGTGTTTGTACCAAAAAACTAGGAATGTTCGATATCGTATCGATTATTCTGAATATCGATATTTCAGGGCACGATAATCGATTTTTTGAATCGATATTCCAAGAACGATATATCGAAGGCATCGATACTTTACCCGCAATATCGATATTTAAGTTGAAATTTATTTTTCATCTACAAAAAAGTGTATGGGAAAATACTAAAGCAGGGTTAATCAGCAGCTTGTGTGATTTATTTAGCTCTTAAGTTTGACAAACCGCTTGAGTAGAGCGGCATGCCGTGAAGCGTGAAGCCTTGCAACGTCTACTACAGTTGCCACGTAGGAGAGAGACTCTGTCGCCGAGTACTGGTGTTCACCCCGGTGGACGAACGTCTAGCCACAATCCGCATCAAAGCTAGATTCGTCAACATCTCGCACACCTGCGCCCATGCCCGACGGAAGAGAAAGATGAGACTTCCAAGTATCTCTTCTGTTAGCGCTTGGAACGTACATATGAGCGCTACCCCCAACACGATGTCAAAATCGTGCTTGGCGATTTTAATGTCAAGGTGGGCAAGGAAGGGATCTTTGGCGCCACTGTCGGAAAATTCAGCCTCCACGACGAAACGTCCGATAACGGACTGAGGCTGATCGTCTTCGCCGGGGTCCGAAACATGGTAATATGTAGTACTAGGCTCCAGCATAAGAACATCCACCAAACTACATGGCTGTCTCCAGATCGAAAAACGAGAAACCAAATCGATTATGTTGTGATAGACGGAAGGCATGCTTCAAGCATTTTAAACGTACGTACACTCCAAAGGCCAAACATCCACTCGGACCACTATCTTGTTGTATCCAAGATACGCACCCGCCTCATTAAGTACCGCCGCCGAAGAAGTAGTTGGATTTCAGCGAGCCCGAAAGAACACATGGTACGATGAAGAATACGATCGGGAGCAACGCGAGCCATGTGGGACCGTTATAGGGAACTGAAGAAGGAAGCGAGACGTATTTGCCGCAATAAGAAGAGAGAGGCAGAAATATGTGAGTGAGAAGAGCTTGAGATGCTGGCCGACTGGAAGAACAACCGAAAATTCTACTTTCTATAATTCGACTTACGGAAGGTTTCAAGACCGGGGCGAACACCTTTAAGAACAACAATGGCGACCTAGTGACCAATGTCCGGAATGTACTTAAATTGTGGAGGGAACACTTTTACAACCTACTGAATGGTAGCAGCGCTGACAGTAGTGAAGAAGACGAACCCGAGTCCCCAGTCGATGATGATGGAGTAGCTGTCCCACCGCCTGACTATGACGAGGTACGAATACCGATTACGAGGTTGAAAAACAACCAGTCTCATTGCGAGTGTCGTGCCGAATGCAAGTCGTTTTTCGAGAGTCGAATCGTATCGAAAATTTAGCGTCATTGCCTAAAATTTCCACTCGACTAGTGTATTAAAACGGAAGAACTTGGCAGCACTGCATAGTTTTCGACAATTTTCGTCGTTTACTTATTTCAGCACGACAGTAGACAATGCTAATGTTGTCGAGTCGTACAATTCATGGACAATGAAAGTATCTGATGATGGACAGAAACGCTCCTGCTCTGAAAATATTCAACGCAGGCCGCGATGCTGGTAAAAGAGGAAGAGGAAGGCCTCCTCGGCCATAATCGCTTAGGCGGCTACAGCGTCAATAAAGAAGAAATGCGTCCTTTAGCGATGGCAAGGCTGGCACTTCTGATCGCGAAAATATCATTCACAGGCGCCCACAGATGTCCCCATCGGCGCCACATCCTAACACGCTCACAAACTTACATTTTAAACCAAACGCTTTGACATTTCACTTATCCACTTACTTTGTACACACCTAATACACACACACACACACATGTATACAGATAAAAAAGAAATGTCAACTAAAACTTTGAATTGTAGACACCATCGTTAAGATTTTCACCCGTGAGGACGTATCCGATCAGCCCCCAGATCTCGCCAATAAAACCTACATATTATTATATTTTTTTTGTATTGAGCTTTGTACCGCGATGGTTTATTAGGAAAAATTTAAAAAGCAACAAAGTCTAAGCGGTAGCTAATACTACTTTCAAACAGGCAGTTAATCGAGCAATTATCCAAGCTTTCTCAATTAATGCACTAATTAAGATCGATTTGCCATACAAAATTTCAATTATAAATTGCTCAATTGGTAATTAATTGAATGTTTAATCGAGCAAAAACTCCAATGCAACTCTGTTAGGTAAGTTCGTTTTCTTAGTTTTGGTGTGTTCAGTGTTAAATGACAATCAGCTGTTTGACATAAATTTATTATTTTCTTATTGGAACCAAAACAATTAAAACACAAAAAAAAATTAATTTTAACTGCAGGATGCAGAACAATCTGAATGGTGAGTAAATAAACACAAATGGTTTTGTGTAATGTTTATTAAAAACACATATGTATGTATTTCAGTTCGATTACCTCCAAAACCAAGAAAGAGGAGACTGGCTTGGGCAGAGGATGGCGAAGTGGCCATTCTTGATTTGTGGCAAGAGCGCGTTGCTGATCTCCGCGGTGCACGGAAGAATGGCCACATCTACGCGGAGATGGCGAACGAGCTGGCAAAGTGTGGCCACAACTACAGCGCCCGGGATGTGCAGGTGAAGTTGGCGAACTTCACGCAACGCTACAGGTCAGAAGAAATAAAGGAATAATATTCTAAACCACTAAAAATTTAATTCGTTAATAGAAAAGAGAAATTGGCTATGGGACCTTCTGGTGGATCACCCTCAACGTGGCCTTTATAAGCAAGGGTGCACCAGATAATCGGTGGATTTAAGGCCAACATGTTTTGCGAGCTGACGCTTGAAAACATCAGCGGTATGTATGCGTTTTTGGAATGTGCCTTACTAAAAGCCGTAATGTGTTTAGTGGAGACATTTGTTTTGTAGCAGAGTGACGCGTCTGTGTACATGCTAGAACAGCTCGTTTAGTTGCAGGTTTAAGTGCGAAGGTACACTTCGATTTTGCACGAGCACAGACATACGGTGGTGCTTCAAAACAAATGTTCCACTCAAAACTTAACCCATCCCCCCACAGACCCCTTGGGAGCTGTTTAAACATAGGAGAAATTGGGATTTTTTGCGAAAGGATTATAATCCTCACTAAGTACAATTATCCTTTCTGTGTTACCGAAGAAGAGGGGCTGAACACCTTTTGTAGAGATAATTCGTTGATACTTTTTGCGTTTGACAGCTCAGCTAGGTTTATTTTTTTTATTCGGGTCTCACGTTTTGCACATCAACCCAAAATTGATGTACAAATAACTAAACCGTTCCCTATCTTTTTAACTTCGATACAAGCACATATGCACATATGTATTTATTTAATGCTGATTTTATTTATTTCATTCTTATTTGTGTTTTTTTTTTTCTTTTAAACAGAAGCCGACATAGCATCCCAGCCATCACCACTGACCCCAGTATTGCCGAACATTTTCGTCACCACTGGCATCACCTCTTCCTGCTGTGCCAACCACACCGCTGCCTACACCGTCACCGCCGCTGTCATCACCTCTCACTCCTCTGCCAACCACACCGTCACCGCCGCTATCATCGCCATCATCACCAATGCCTAGCAGCTCAGCTTCTGCGGTTGAGCCTAAAAGAAAGAAAACAATGGGCACTTTACAGAAGAAAATATTAGAAAAATTTGATGGGTTGTCAGCGGAGATAAGCCAACATATTCAGAGGAGTGAGGAAAATGAAAAAGAGTGGATGAAGATAGAAAAAGACAAAGCTGACACACTGAGGGAGATAGCCATGGATAACAAGGAGTTAAAAGTTGGTATTTTATCATTTTTAAATAGAAATTAATAAAATTGTACAGCACTCGCCTGCTATTGGACCAAACCAACTTTTTTAAAGAGATTGGGTCATAAGTAAAAAAAAGTTAGTTCTCCGTTTTTCGAAGTTAGCCTTCGAAATCGAGATATGGGCCTTCGAAGTTCGAAATTAGACCTTTGGTAAAAAATTATTTTTAATTATTGCATGTAAAACGCAAAAGAAAGTAAAAATGCAGACATGGTCGGTTTTTTGCTCTCATTTATATGGTATATAATTTTTTTGTGAAAACTTATATTACAGGTGCTATACCGGGTCAAAGGTCAGATCTTCGAAAAATGAAAAACTTAATATTTCAGACAATTTTGAACCGATTTCAAAAAGATTTACATCGTTGTAAAATTTATTAAATGCGCTTTCTTTAGATATGCATATTTGTATACATCGTATATAAAAATTTTAGAAAAAACATATTTAATTGAAAAAATACCTTTTTTTATAAAAAAAAAAAATTTAACAAAAAAATGACTAACCGATTTTTAAACAATTGGTATCGTTGTAAAGGTGATTGAATTCCCTTTCTTCTGATATGCATATTTCTAGAAATCGGTTAGTAATTTTTTGTTTAAAATATGTTTTTTTATAAAAAAATGTATTTTTTCATTTAAATGTGTTTTTTCTAAAATTTTTATATACGATGTATACAAATATGCATATCGAAAGAAAGCGGATTTAATCACCTTTACAACAATATATTTTCTTTTTAAATCAGTTCAAAATTATTTGCAATATAAGGAAATTAATTTTTCGAAGACCTGAACTTTGACCCCTTATAGCACCTGTAATATAGGTCTGCACAAAAAAATTGATATACCATTTAAATTAAAGGTGGACTGCGCCTATATTTTTGGGTTTTTAGTTATTTACATACATGCAATAATTTAATATAATTTTTTACCAAAGGTCCTATTTCGAACTTCGAAGGCCCATATCTCGATTTCGGAGGCTAATTTCGAAAAACGGAAAAATCATTTTTTTGCCCATGACTCAAGTGCAGTTATTAACTAACAAAAAGTATATACAATGACCACGTGTTGATTTTTTTTTTAAATATTAGTAATGTTTTTCGAGCTAAATTTCTTTTGTTATTTATCTATAAAAATACCGTCCAAGCTTTAACCAAAACCTTAAAAATCACTTGGGGGATTCACAACGGTGTCGTTAGTGTCGTATTGTTGTATGTCGTAAACTTTAAACGCCTAAGAAATATATCAAAAGGATTCGCAAAGTACCATCAAAGTCATATTATGCATTTTCGCAGTGTTAAAAAATAGTTGGTTGTGGTTTTAACTTCTCTAAGCATTTATTTAAGCTTTTAAAGTTTACAAAAATATGACACTTACGACACCGTTGTGAATCCCCCAAGTGATTTTTAAGGTTTTGGTTAAAGCTTGGACGGTATTTTTATAGATAAATAACAAAAGAAATTTAGCTCGAAAAACATTACTAATATTTAAAACAAACAACACGAGGTCATTTGGTTGATTCACTGTAAATAAAAAATAAATGAAAATGAATTAAATGAACAAATAAAAATTGTACTCACTAAAATAATTGCATAGTCCTTGTCTTATTTCTTCAGCTGAGATTTCTGTTCACTTCTTGCAATCTCTCCAACCACATGTCATTTATAGTGTCGTTCATTTCATTTAAATAATTGTGCAAGACACAGCAGGCTCTAATAATGATCGGTGCCTTCCCAATACGGTTGTCTAAACCTTTTCCAACACGACGGAATCGTCCTTTCAAGTGGCCAAAAGCATTCTCAACTACTCTTCTGCACTTTGAAAGCTTATAATTATAGAGTTTTTGTGTTTCAGTTAAGGCCATTGAAAACGCGTATGGCTTCATTAAGGAGGTGGAAAACCGAAACGCA